AAAAAGCCCCCTGCTCTGGAGAGACTGTGCCCAGGTTAATGCCTGCTCTAGACCAGCAGGGAGCCCCGGTGACACAATGCTTATGTTTGTTGCCAAGAATCCGCGAGTCCATCTCAGCAGCTGCTCCACTGAGAAAGAAGGAGCCATCTGCTCTGATTTGGGCCTTGGAAACTCCAAAGGGAAGTTTCGCTCTCCTATAAGTTGGGTTTGACTCGATAGCAGTATGTCTAGCATGTTTGGTTTTCCTAGGCCAGCAGTTCAAAACCACCAGCTGCTCCATGGGAAAAAAGACAGGGCATTCCACTCCCACGAAGAGTTAGTCTCAGAACCCCCAGGGGCACTTATATCCTGTCCCATCGGGTGGCAATGAGCTGGCATTGATTCAATGGCAGTGACTTTGCTTTCTATAGAAGCAGCCCACCTGTACTTCGCAGTTCAAAGTTTGATCCGAAGTCTCCTTGTCAGTTGCCATCGAATCCACTTCTAACTCACGGCAACCCCACAGACAAGAAAACAGAACAGGACAGAACAAAGTGCGGCCTGGTCCTGCACCCGCAGCATGCCCAGTGCAGATGGCACTCTGGTTGTGACTCATAGGGCTTTCATGGGCTGCTGGTGTTAGAAGTAAAGCTCCAGGCCTTTCTGCCTAGTCTGTCTCAGTCTGGAAGCTCCACTGAAAGCCACTTAGTACTGACAGCAATGCCCAAGCCTTCGACGTCAGACAAGAACTTAACACGTGCATCTCCCATGTTAGGTGAGGATTTTGCCACTGAACCACCACTGTCTCAGAGCCCCAACCCCCAAAACCACCCCCCTACCACCGAGTCGACGCTGACTCAGAGTGAACCTGAAGGCCAGGGGAGTAGAACTAACCGCTCCGGGGTTCTGAGATGGCACACCGCTGAGAGCAGGCGACCGCATATTTCTCCCATGCAGCAGGACCAGGACTCCTCAGAGAATTTAGAGACCACGAAATTCTTTAGAGACCCCCAAATTCTCACATTTAGAGATGTCTAATCCAAAATATACTCTGTTGATATATATATTAAAAAAAAAACTCTGTTGATGTTATTATAAAAGATCATGGTTTGTCCGCCTAAGACTTCCTTTTTAAAATATTAATCTCCGCTGTGTGCAACTATTATAGCTCTTGTTGGCAACTCATTAATCTTGTGTGTGTGTGTGTGTGTGTGTGTGTGTGGTGGGGGGGCAGGGACATCAAGTTAACCCCTGCTCTGTTCTTACCTATAGTTCAACTGTGCAGGCAACTTTTGGTGAGTAACATTGTAAGGGGGGGGGGCAGCAGAGAACTTCTAAGTCTTATTATTTCTTTACAATCAAGAAGGAGACTCTAGATGTCCTTGCCTTGCTTTTGACTAGAGACATCAATGCTGTCAGGGATTTTTCCATGAGCTTTTACAACCGGGTCAATTTTAGAGCCATCACTTCTTTGTGGTCACCTAGTACACTAACATGTGAAAATCGAACATTGAATAAAGAAGGCTGAAGAAGAATCAACACATAGGAATTGTGGTGCTGGAGAAGAATATTGAAAGTATCAGGGACTGCCCAAAGGACAAACCGATCTGTTTTGGAAGAAGTGTGCCCAGAATGCTCCTTAGAGGCAAGGATGGCAAAACATCATCTTATATACTTTGGAAATGTGGTCAGGAAAGACCAGTCCCTGGAAGAAGGACATCATGCTAGATAAAGTGGAGGGGCCGTGAAAAAGAAAGCCCCTCCGCGAGATGGATGGACACAGTGTCTGCAACAATGGGCTCACGCAGAGGGACACTTGTGAGGCTGTTGCAGGACCAGGCAGTCTTTTTTTTTTT